TGCCACCCCCCACCCACCCCCACACACACACTATCATGACCCCAGTTCTATCTTACAAACCCGGCTAGACTGGAGCATGTACATTGGTACATATAAGAGCTCTCAGCACAAGGAAACCTGGACAGATTAACCCCTCAGGAACAATAATGGGGGGTAGCGATACCAACAGGGTAGGGGGAATGTGGGGGCAGAAGGGGGAGAAAAGGGAGAACCATTGCAATGATTGACGTATAACATCCCCTCCCCATGCGTGTGGGGGGCGGGGGGGAGGTGAACAACAGAAATGTGGGTGAAAGGAGACAGCGGACAGTGCAAGAGATGAAAATAACAAAAATGTATAACCTATCAAGGGTTCATGAGGGTGGCAGGGTGGGGGGAGGGAAAAAAGAGGAGCTGATATCAAGGGCTCAGGTAGAAAAGAAATGCTTTGAAGATGATGATGATGACGATGACAACAATGACATATGCACAAAGGTGATTGATACAAATGAAATTTGGATTGTTCTAATAGCTGTAAGAGCCCCCAATAAAATGAGTTTCAAAAACAGATTGTATGCAACACCTTGTTAATTCAAGGCCAGTTCCCTTCAGAACAGGAATCACAATGCCCAAACAACACATTTCTACCAGAAATTAGGCACCACAACTTTGCTGACTGACTGCATTTAGAAGGGGTGAAACAAGGCTGGCTAATGGATCTAGGACAGAGCTCCACCCACTGAAGCAAGCTTCGGCTATCGCTCAAGGAGGGCTTGGCTGTAATGAAAATGTGTGCACGGCTTGTCAGTGAAAGGTGGCTTTTGGTTCTTGTTCCTCCTAGCCATCTCCCGTCTACTCCCAGAGCCTTGGACAACAGACATTCAAGTGAAGCCTGCGGTGGTGAGGAGATCGAAACCGTAGATGTGAGCACAGGACAGGAAAAGAGTCAGGACCCTCATGCTGAAGGTGGGCTCTGCGCTGTGTGGCATGATGTGCACACGTCCCTCAGGGAATCCTCTCCACAAGCCAGGGACCGAGGCAGGCAATATGGAAGCAGGGGGTAGTGACATCTGGGAAAGTTTGGCCAGCATGGGGGAGAGAAGGAGGGCCCTGTGGTTCTCAGTCCTTCAGCAGGATCATGCAGCACGGCTTCAGGCAAGAAGCTCTGGCAAAGGTGGATCCAGATAAAGGGGAAAGGAAACCGTTCCCGAACTCCTCTTTCCTGGTCATTCCCATTCCCCCCTCCCCCCAACACACTCTTCTCTCTCTCAGAACCCACCCTCTAATTAATCATGATAAATAACCAGCCTGCCCAATTGTGAGTTGGCAACGGGAAGCCAGAGAGAGGATGCACATCAGGAATGAGACTGGGTGAGAGGAGAAGAGTCTGGCCGTGGTTTTTCATGGGGCTGGGAGCGTCTGGTCTCCTCCTCGGGCCCACTGTGCAACGGAAGCCGCAGCCCCAAGGAAAGCACTGGAGTCCCCACCTCAGGCAGAGCTCACACACTCGCTGACCTTGAACCCAGGGACATGCCCTACCTGCTCTAAGCCTCAGACTCCAGAGCTCTAAGGCGAAGGGCTAACATAGACCATCCTCCATTATAACAGTGCTTCAGGTACGTTTGGTATTTTTCTAAATTTCAGACAAAACAGTCTCCTAGCACAAAACTTAGTCCTAGATTAAGAACTGCCCATACGAGTGCTTAGACAAATACTGGGTATTTTTTAATGCCTGGAATGATGAAATTGTGAGAAAATATCTGAGGAGTGCTACAAAACTACCAGGTTGTATTTTGTCTGCTTCAGTGATATAAAAGATTCCTAAACTGCAAGTAGGTTTTAAAATGAAGCTTTAAAAGAAAATTTAAATGACGCTTTGTGCTACAACTAGCTACAATAATCAACTCCTCAAACATGAATGACAATGGCAGAGGCGATTTTACTACAAGCATGTGGATGGCAGGTGTGGATGGTCCACCAGCTGGCTCCATACCCTTTGACCCCTTAGGCCAGCAAATCTGTTCAACAGCCCTGTGTGGTCACTCCTCATTTGTTGTCTGCTTTCTTCTCTTTCACACGCTCAGAAGCCCCGCTCCTTTGGCTTGACATCCTTTTATGAAATTAGAAAGCTCCCACTAAAGCAAACTAAAACTAATTTTACACTCAGTCAGGGTAAGGATTCTGGACTAGATGACTACAATTATATCAGGGTTGTTAGCATGTGGTGGCTTAGTGACACGGAGAGTTCAGGTTTGCTTTTCTATTCTTTTCCAGGAAAATACAATAGGAGGGAGTGACAGGATTAAGAATTTTAATGAACCACTCTTCAGTTAACTTACAAAGCGCGCCATGATACTCTACCTAAATATCAAAGTCTTTAATTACTGAACGGAAAAGTTAAAATCTGACTTAAGAACACAACCTGACTTAAGAGAATTCAAACTATAATGGGACTTTATAAAAGACAAATTTTCTAAGCTGTTTCTCTGTCCCTTTGTTGACGCTACATTTTATGTGGCTGGAAAGGGCACTGTTTGAAAACCGTGCCAATTAAGACAAGAATCTGCTTGTATCCCCACCCCTGCCCTATCCCCATCTGAGGGTCAAGGATGCAAGACAGACTCAATAGTGGTGAAAGCAACAGTGTGACAGTCAGTCACTTAGTAACTGAGGAAGCTTCAGAACGTTTTTCATCTTTCTTGGTCTTGGTTACCGCATCTTCCAAAAAAGGGGAGTGATCATATTGCTGATTTCACAGGGTTGTTGTGATTATATAATGCAAGTCACAGAATCAGTCTAAACTAGGACACAGAGAAAGAGGTCAACAAATGGCATCTCCTACCACTGTCCTACTTATATTGCCTCTTCTCTGGGCCTTTGCTAGACCTCAGTACTTTGAGCAAGTACACGAACATACAGAATTACTTCATTACTTCAGGGGGACATTGGTGGCTATATTATACCTTCACCTGGAATCTTACTCATTCTCTCCTTGATATGACTTATTGTTCTTTGATGCCTGGTACCTGATCCCTTTGACACCTCATGATCACAGAGGCTGGTGTGTTTCTTCCATGTGGGATTTGTTGCTTCTAAGCTAGATGGCTGCTTGTTTACCTTCAAGTCTTTAAGACCCTAGATGCTTTATCTTTTGGTAGCTGGGCACCATCAGCTTTCTTCACCACATTTGCTTATGCACCTGCTTTGTCTTCAACGACCGTGTCGGGAAGGTGCATCATGGAATGCCAGTTTAATAGAACAAAGCATTCTTGCATTGTTGAAGGAGTACTCGAGTGGAGACTCATCTGTTACCTTAATACCAAACCTGTAAATATATGCACATACATCCATTTCCCCGTCATGGTATATAAATATATTTACATATGTACACGTCTTTGTTTAGACCTCTATAAATGCCCTTTGCCTCCTAGAAGAACTCTTTATTGTTGTTGGGCAAACAAAGAATGAATCAAATGAACTAAGGGTGATGTATGCTGTATCTGATAGATAGATAGATAGATAGATAGATAGATAGATAGATAATATAACTTTCTTTCAATGAATATTTGACTTAAAGCGTGATTGCAAAGGATGCCATTTTTGCAAAACAATATTCAAAAACATTAATAATTTTCCCCAAGGTATTTTCCAATCTATTAACATTTATTCTTTTGAAAGGTCTGTTGATCAAAACCCTTGCTAATTTTCCTTTTTTTCAATAGGACACTAATCTGACTCTACCAGATCTTTATTTTTCAAGATTTCAAAATTCACAACTTCCACTGGAAGAGGATTGGTCTTATTGTTCCCCAAAGACTTCTTTGTTCTTTCATTTACCTCACATCAAAACATCAGTCTTGGCATTTGAGAGATTCAAATTGTGTTCCTTTTAAATATTTTCTGAGTTTAGGGCACAGTAAGAAATCTGAAGGGGCCAGATGAGGGCTCCAGGTAGAAGGTGGAAGGTTTCCCAATGAAATTCTTCTGGGACAGCCTTTGCTAGCCTCAAAGAATGGGGAAGATAAGTTGTTGTGGTGGAAAAACAATCCCTTGGTATGGCTTTTTCCTCACCAGTGAGGTTTACAGTTTTCTTAAAGGTTCTTCATAATAAGCCCTCCTGGTCATCCTGCGTCATTCAAGAAAATCTATTAAAACTATCCCTTTAAAATCCCAAAGAAATGGTCATGAAAACCTTTTCCACCTTGAACATGATTGGCCCAAAAAGTCAGAAGCCATTGTTTTGATTGGATCTTTGTTGCAGGCAACCTAACGAGGCTAAGACCAGTGTGTTACTGAGAAAACCTGTCAGCAGCCTTCCCCTGATCACAGGGACATGCTTTGTTTGCAATAAGCCCACGCATGTATACACTGGAGCACCAGTAGCAACTCTTTTGAATGTACTATCGTGTTCACACTGGCGTATCATCAGCTCAGTATTTGACACGTGAACACCATTAGTATACAGTGCAGCGGGCAGAAACAGTAGCTAGTGTTAAAGACGGTAGGGGATATAGGAGTTTGTTTTATAAATCTGTTAATGAATATTATGAAACTAAATGACCTTTGGTTCCTTATCAAACTGTCAGCTGTAGGGATTCAGAAGTGTACAAAAACAATTGGAGGATCTGTTGTTTACACAATAAGGTCAACTACAGCTAGTCCTCAACTTTAGACGTCTTCTAGGCACAACAAACCACACTGTCAACCATCTTTTTTTCAAATGGCTTATCATTAGTCTTATGTACTACCTCCAGTGCTGCAGTATGCAATCTGCTGATGTCATTGTACTCTGAGTTCATATTGCTTTCAATCCCCCAGGAACGTAAAGATCAGATTTATAAAGAAACTGATAATAAGGAAATTCTTAACCACCACCAAAAAAAAAAAAAAAGATGTGTTGGACTTACATCAGAACCAGTTGACAAGAGTCATCAGAATGAAATCCCATCACCGGAGTCTGGGCCTGCCTGACCTCATGCTCGGCCAAGCAGGGCTGCACAGGGAAGCCTGGGAATGCTTACGTGATATGACGTGGTCCATATACTGCGGTAAATAGGGAGCCCAGGCATCGATGGTTTCCTTCCGTCCCACTTGCTCGATTCTTCTCAGTTCTGCTAGAAGCAGGGCCTGTGCAGCTTCCCGGACCTAAGAGAGACACAGCCAGATGTACGCAAAGAGGGCACATGCGTTGTGAGGCATCGGGGCTTTACCAGAAATCTGGAAGCCCCGAAGGAATCAAGCCTAGTACACATAGAAGCACCATTTTATTGTGAACAAGTTCTGTTCCTAAGCCTGTGTTTAAGTTGAAATGTGTACTAAGAAGGAACAGTTAAGCATGGTTCATATTTAATGTTAGTCAAATTTCCATCTTACTATATAGTGCATTTTTTATTCTGTGAACTAAAAACCCAAAAGAAACACTTTGAGATACTTAAATGTCTTTAGCATAATGACACGGTAATAATAAAGGTTTGATGCTCTGTTTCAAAGTAGCACACATTCGTCGTTACAAAGCACCACGAAACCCTGGGATTTTTAACACAGCAGGCTTTATGAGTGTTGTGCACATGTCAGAAGTGTGTAACTCAGGGACTGTGTACTAGACAAGTGGAACAAACTGGATAATAGAAAATCATCAAAAACATTTTAGTTCATGTGCTCAGAAAAATATTTTAACTCCATTGGACAAAACTATTTGAAAAGTCAATCGGATCTCTCCTTAAAAGTTCATTTTCCAAATCTTTTAGGACATTCTTGTACTTTAATAAAGCATTTTTTTTTTCATTTTAAATTTCCACATAAACAGTCTGGTCAAATCATTGTTGGAACTATGCAACTTGCTTTCTCTTTTAGCCATGTCTAGTGAATTTTTTATCTAGTATACATGTTAGCCTTATCTATTGAAACATTAAAATGATATATGCTAAACAGATAGTCCACACTTTATATATGCATACCTAACAGTTGCTTAGATCATTTGTTTTCAACAAATGAACATATTCATATTAAATGAATGGCATAATCTTTTTTACAGAGAGAAAAAAATTATAAATCACATCCACTTTTCTTTCAATTTATATTTTACAGGTTTATCTGACTTTTGTGTGTGTCAGAAGCATGAGATAAAAGAAGCCAGTTTGTAATCGAGTGATTGACTGATCAATTTATTAACTATTTTTCATAGGAAAGATAGTTCAGCAGAAAGCTGAGCACAAGGCTGAGTAAAAAGCTGTTTAATTACAACTGATTTGGGGGGGTTAATAAAATATTATCCAATGCAAAACTACAGAATTTCAGAATGCTTACTTTTACTTGCAACTAAGGTAAAAGAGACTGGGGAAGGTGTCATTACGGACGTTATTTTTCTAATTTACCAGAATAATGAACATTTATGTTTGGTAAATTTAAAGAACTTAAATGGCATAAATGGATACCATTTAGGCCAGGAGCAATACTAAGGAAAACCTCGCTATTGCCACGTCCCTGGGCATTATATTCCCAGCAATATCGAGTACCGCATAAAGAGTTTAACACAAAATAATAGCTACCAGTGACTGAGCTCCTGCCACATGCGAGGCTCCGTCTCACTGTGTTACTTGCATTGTCTTATTTGATTCAGAAAGCAATCCCGTGAGGAATATATGATTATCCCTGCTTTACAAATGAGCCTCAAAGAGGCTAAGTCAATTGTCAAGGCTCACAGAGTTAATCATTCGAGGAACTGATATTTAAACCCAGGTCGCTGCTAAACTCAAAGGCCTCCTCCTCCTACTATAGCACAGTGCTTGCCATATTCACTTAGAATTTGACTGACGTAATTACATCTGCTTGTGTGACAGTGGGGAGGAGATGGGTAGAGGTATGTGTGAATACATGTGGGTGCGAGCATGTGTGCAGTGTGCACAGAAACAAATACTTAAGACCCACCTCCACTGGATCAACGTAAGAAAAATAAAATACAAAAGAAAACCAAAGAACCACTAATCCATATTTTCTACCATGCAGTAAACAGATGCTAGTTTAATTAGGTGAAACTAACCAGGCTTTTCTGAAATTTACATTTCTTCTGAAACTTTAAGAATTTACATTTAATACTTTTATTCTCTGTTGCATCTTGCCATTACCTCTAAGCATCGGTCTTGCCATCTCCGCGCCAGCATCTCTAGAAGTGGAGGCCTGAATCTCTCCAATCCCAGCAGGTCCGGTAGCATGACACAGTGCATAGCAGCCAACTGACTCCATCCTGTTACCAAAAGACAAATAATATGTTTCAAATACTGTAAACATTCTGGCATTCCCTAATTCAAAGGCTGTTTTTATTTTGTTTTGTTTAATGTAGATACCCACAGGGGAGGGGGGAAAGATAGTTCCACTATATTATGTTATATGCAATTTTAATTTATCATTAGGCATTTTGCACAAAGAATTATACTAAAAGTGTTCACCCAAGTCATGCAGCTGATCCCTATAGGAACCCTCAAAGTCTTAAAGCTAACAAAAATCCATTTCTACCTAAATCGATTTCAAAAAATCTATTTCTAAAGATCCCTTCTTAAAAACAACAACAAAAACATAGATCAAGAAAGGGAAAACAGAAATAAGCACATAGTAGGGGTGGCGTGAAAAAGTGCACTTTACACATCAAAGATTGGTTATTTTTTGGTGATAGGAAAACAGGCACCAAATGTGGATGTAGTGAGCACAACCAAAATTACAACGAGCATATGAGCATATATGATTACATGCAAACTGGTATACGGTTGGCATAGATGTGTACAGAAGTGCAGACAGCCATCTATATATAATTTCAAAAAAACCTCACTGTCATCTGACTCATAAGAATGTATAAACACAAACATGCAGGTACAGGCACATCCTCAGACATAACCAAACAACTTCCAAACTCAGTTTTCGGGGTTTTAGAATCTATGGGCATAGTCTCCTGGGACAACTCAGTCAACTGGTGTGACACAGTTCACAACCATCATGCCTGATCTCCCTCCTGGAGAAGAGGGGAGCCCCTGGGGGCTTCTCAAGTCTCGGAGCAGCCATCTCGACACCGCAAGAAGGGAACTGAATTTACGTACGTCTGTGCCATCGGTTCAAACACAACAATCATTCTACGGAGGGTGCTGGCCTGGGCACTGTGGCATCCTGTGGGTGGGGTCGCGATGAGCCAGGATGAACTGAGCGACACCGCCACGAGCCACCAGCTCACCCACCCCGGGACTGCAAGAGCAAATGGTGCCCGCACACACCAGAGACCATTCTGTGTTCACAACTGTTGGTCCCAATAGAGTCAGAGGAAAATATTGAGAACTCAATTTCTTATTTAAAAAAATAAAAGGTCAGATAAACTGCGGACAAAACTGAGGACCACTCCCTGAGATTATTGCCCCAAAATGTGCATTAAACTTAGAACCAAGAGATAACCTTTAAGAAAATAGCACAGTGGCACGCAAAATTAAGGATAAAAAGCAACAGAATAGAATCAAACTGCTGGCCTTGTAGTTAGCAGCCAAATGTGAGACCTGGTAGGCAAGCAGGGCTTCTTAACCCCTGCAATAATTACCAAAAAATCCTGGGGATAGCATTTAAAGGGCAGTAATCAAGAGTGAACACAAACATTTCTACTACCACCGCTGGGTGATTTATCTGTGATTTCACAATTTTAAAAAGTCAATGTTTGGAAATAATCTAAACCACAATCTTCTAAAACATCATAAAAAACCCTATATCCCACCCTCCAAAAAGTGACCTCAAAATGAGCCTTGGGATTTTTAAAAAGAAAAGGAGGAGGCAGACAGGTAGACAGACAGATGGACAAATTACCTGTCAAGAAATGTATCCTTTCAGTGCACATATTTTAAATTTATAATTTGTCTTCAACAGAGGCCTTCAACACATAAATTAAATAATTTTTCTTAATTTAATAATTTTAGAAAGTATCTTAATATATCGTAAGATTACGAAAAATATTTATGAGATTTTTAGAAATTCTTCTTATTATGAAGCAGGGGAGGGGGGTTACATTTCAGATAATTTTGTATTTAAGCTACTTATCAAGCTCCCCAGGAGCTTGCCCTACCTTACCCACCCCCCTCTTTTTCTTCTCCCTCTTGTAGAATACAATCTTTCCCTTCATGAGCTGAATTTCACACAATAATGATGCTCCTTAAGGCCCCGAGTCTAATAACTTATTTTGAAATTAACAAGCGACTGTCTTTTTCATATTAGCTTCACAAATACACTCTTATGTATTTTCAGAGGTTCAGTCTCACCGTACAAACCTTAGTTCAGGCCTATGTGGGGAAACAGACAATGAAGGTGCATCTTACAGCTCCCTGGCGTTCTTTCCAAAGGAGCAGAACCTGCCGGTCTGTCCTTCACAGACAGGGCCGCCCTTCCCATTCCAATGGACTGTTGACCGGACGTTCCAGGGAGGAGTCAGTCAGGCTGGATTACTTGAGATTTTGGAAATGCCTTCCCTTTCACATGAAACAAACGTGTGGTGACTGAGAAGGCAATGAAGACGGAGACTGGATATAGTTCGAACCCCACTGGGTCCACGAAGCTTTCCAGCTATATAACTAATCTGGGATGCCTCTTGGGGAATAGGTTTTAGATCCCGTATTCTTGGACATGCACAAACATTCTCGTATGCCATTCTCGTAATTCCACAGGGGTGGTAAGGCAGCTTCAGTATATTTTACAAATGGAAATGCCTCAGCCAGGAGGATAAATATGTGAATTCCCAGTGGTATAGGATCACTGGTGCCAGCCATCAATCTGAGGGTCTTTAAGGTGTGCATCGAAGAGGCTTCTCAATGTCCCCTGTTCAGTGAGACACAGAGGTGCATAAAGAGAGGAGGGTGTGTGTGTCTCAAGCGACACACGTAAATTAAACTTCACGGTTCTAACACCTGAGATGCCGTGGTGAGCATCATCCTGCAAACCCACCCACCTGGTGGGAACCGCATCACACCACGAAGGAGCATCTCAGCACTTTTCAACCACTGCTCTGGACGACAGGAAGCACAGTTTCTAACATTACATTGTCTAACCAACTGCCCCTTCTCATCAACATGAGCAAAAAATGTTATAAAACGGGGCCCTTTAGGATCTTAAATAGAACCAAGCAGATGAATGTACAAGTCAGGTAAAAAGATCCTGTCACATTAGAATCAAGCACCGATCGAAAGAAAGTTGTTAGAAAGTGGAGAGAGAATACCTTCATTTACTAAGAAACAGGTATGGAAAGCAGGAGTAGAGGCAGGGGCAGAGCCAGAGTGGTCGGCATCAGACCGAGCAGAAACGACAGGTGCCGCGACTTGCAGAGGGAAAATAGGAGAAATAAAGAGGAGAGAATTGAGGCACAGCAGTTTCTGAAAAACAGTTCAGTATTAGTGAGGAATGAAAACCAAAACCGGCAAAGTATGGGGAATGCAGAACTGAAAGGGGTGTTTCTCATTGGAGGGGTGTGGCTATGGCCAGGAAATGATAGACATTAGTGAACAGCAATTAAAACAGAGTTTCAAATTTCCTTTGAAGCAAATCTATTTAACACGATCGCTGAATGACATGAGACTGATGCAGAACATAACTTAAACAAAATCAAGTGGCAAGAAAAATACAACAATGCACATTATTTAGAATTAGCAAAATGTAACTTGAATTTTTAAAAAATGCATCCTCTAATTAAAAGGTAGGCTTTCACCTGGTCAGTTGTGTTTCTAAAGTTTTTCTTTTTAAAAAAAAATTATTTTCTAAAATTCTGTGCAAATAAACTTGAGTTATTTGCAGAAAGGATTTCGAGTTCCCCCGTTCATTTTATAAAAAGTACATTTAAAATATACCAGCTTATCGAGAATATGGAAATATACCCATTTGTCAAGAACAGACATTATTTGCTCAGTTCTCATTAGAATTGTTACCATTGATAGCATCATTCTTTGGAATTCACAAATGTATACATTTCTGCTGCAAATACTTCCTATTCTAAACATCATCTACTTCTTATCAAACAACCCCACCCCACCCCTAAATAAAAAAACAAGTTATGCTGCTAAGAAAATGTTTCAGCTTGAATTATCATATGAAAAGGCCAAAGGACCTTATGGCACACACATTCTGCAACTAGAGGTCAATGCGAAGATTTAGAGGTCACCATTTGACACTTCCTTCCTATGGAGAAATTACCATATGTCATGCACAAGCATCTTCAAATTAATCCCCCTCCTTTCTTCTGTCATTGAGCAGCAATAGGTTTGGACTCCTGAACAGATTAAGCTTTGTCTCCTGAATGATGTTTGGCTTTCATGCAGGGAAGTCCTTTTGTCGCCATAGACCAGCTGCACGAGGACAACTTTTTCATCATTTCCACACGAGTGCGTCATAACGTCAATCCGGCACGTGGGAGGCAAACAGAAGGATTCAAAGACGTCCACCGAAAGTAAACAGAGGGAAAAATCCAGTGCCGCCGACGGGAAGAAAGCACATCTTGTAAACCCGACACTTGAATCTGTGGACATTTCCTTCGCTTCCCTGTGTCTGGTTCCTGGGAAAACCACACGCATTTCCTAATGTTACACCAGAAACAGAGCTGCTCCCTAGAATCTATCACAGGATCTAACACCTCCATAGTCAAGTCAGCTTGCAAGAAACACCACATGTTCCTACATTCCATCCAGTAATTTAATTTTCACTTTCTATCTCACATCATATGCACCATGAATTACAAATCTAGTCATTGCAGGCCTATAATACGCACATACTCCCCGACCCATGGACAAAGCTGGTAGGCATTGGTGATGAGGAATACATTTCCATGCCACCAAAAATATTGAGCAAGTGGCTCCCCAGGACAATGTAGTCCGGTAGCACCAATGCACTGATCCCGGATAAAGACAAAACTGCCTTCATGCCGGGTCCTATGTGTATTTGAGAAACGAAACCCTTACATCCATCTACAAGATAGGCCTGACAGACTGTGTGTGCTCCTATGCAAGACAGCTTTCTACTTTAATTCAGAATACTTTATTATGGCCAATAGAAGCACAGGTCATCCACCACAAGTTGGGCCCACATTCAACAGGGCAATGGTGCATGCACACAGACTTATAAGTCCAACAGTACAGAATCTGGTTCCTGAGGGGCAACCGTTTTCAAAATAAAACAAATTTTAGTTCTTTCTTCTAGCATTTACTACCACATTATTAATAAGCTATTAATAATATCCTAACATGACTTAGCACATTTAGAGATGAGCTACTGGTCTCTACCAGTATTGTGGAAGATAATAGTGTAGCTTCCAGCAGCCACCATCTCCTCACCATCAAGCTTTCCCTTACCACCAACTTTTCAAAAGTTTTATCATACCTTTTATATCAACATAACATGTTGATCTTTCCTCCATACAAATTCTGTTCAGTGTTGACCCAAGTGGCTTACTAAAATCACTTAGACAACTTGTGGGGTTCTTTTCTGAATTTAAAAACGATCTTTTTAAAAACCTGCAGTTCCCCTGTACATTCTTCTTCTTCCTCAGTCTTTCCACAGCCTCTGAATGATTTCCACAAGGCAGCTTCCTGTTTCCTCGAAGCATCACCCCCTGCCCCGATGCGCACGGCTGCCACCCAGGAACTTTCCCCCACCACTGCCTGCAAACCCCGCCCAGTGTGCTGTGCAGGGGCTGAGCTGCGCAGTATCCTGTCTTTTTTTTCCCTGGGTTTGCTCCTCGCTTTGATGAAGGGTATCTTTCAGTGTCTTCATGAAAAAAATTACACAATATAGTAAGTTTTCAAAATAGTAGTTTTTCAACATCTTACAAGCTTGAGAATATCAGTATTCTGCCTTTTAATAACTATGGTAAGATGTATATAAGATATGTGTATACACACACGGTAAACATTTGTCGTGTCAACCATTTTTTCTGTGTACAGAGCAAGGATAATATGTTCACCGAGGAATACAACCACTATCACTTTCTGTTTCCAGGGGTCTTCGTTCCTTGTCTCTTTACTGCACCTTTCTACCTCATGGCCAGCTTGTCTCAAGAACCCTACAATGGGAAAGCCCACCTCCCCTCGGCGGGTTTCCGGGGCCACTCCAGGGTCCTCTGGCTCAGGGCGGCTGTTAAGATATTTTTATTCCTGAACTGCAACTATAACGACGGTAAAGATAACAAATAAAATTGTTAAAGTTGGAAGTAATGTTGCAAGAAACAACACAGAAAACACTAACCAGATGCCCTATCAATAAATGTTCATGTATTTTGACTTGGAAACTGAGCGACCAAAAGGACAACAACAAAGATTATTGTGTCAATTTCAAATAAACTACTCACACAAATGTGGAGTTTTTGTAGAACTTCATATTATATATTTGCTAACACAATGCATGTCATTAACAAATTCCTGCAAAGGTCACTTCCACGGTTCTGGTGATTTAGTTAAACTTGTTAAGATGAGTTGTTGTGGGGAATAAGAGGAAAATAGAAATGTGAATGGTATGTGCTACGTAAATCCTTGATTCATGAGATACAAAATATAAAAAAATCATATTACGTGAAAGGTTCATTAATAACCTAGGCCCTTTCGTTTACATATGGAACAATATCTAACATTCAGGAATGTGCGGCAAACATGATTGGAGATAAAAGATATTCCTAAAACACGAGAAAAGAGTGCTAATGACAACAGGGCAGCACAAAGTTCTAGACAACTGAAGGCAGGCTGGTTCAAACCATGCAGGACGGCATTCTGATAAACAGACAAACATGCCTTGTGGCAGCATTGCTAATGTAAACTGCAGATGATGTTGGAAACATAGGGAAACACTGGATTATATCAGGATTGGAATAAGTACAAATGTGATCACAGTTTTTATCCTTTCTCCAGCCACAGAGTGGGGGGTAAAAAACCCAAATAAACTTCCGTAAAAGGTTCCCTCATTACTATTGTTGTTGTGAGTTGCTGTTGCACTGATGTGGCCTCCTGGAGTGCAGAAGAGAGGGCTCCACAGGGCTTCCAAGGCTGGGACCTTTCAGCAGCCCTTGTGAGGCCCGTCTTCCCAGGTGCTGCTTGGTGTATCTGAACCAACAACCTTCCAGCGAGTAGTGGAGGCCTTAACTATGTGCACCACCCAGGGATCTTCTCTCCTAACATCTAAAATAAGTGAATTAGCTTCCCTATGCCAAGGAATCATGTGGATAGAAGTTGTTATAATAACAGACAACACATGTACTACATACACAAACTTGAATTGGGCATAAATCAGAACACCAAACTTGTTGCCATCGAGTCGATTCTGAATCATAGTGACAGGGGAGAACTGCCCGTCAGTTTCCAAGACTGTAACCCAGAAGTAGAAACTCTCATCTTTCTCCAAGGAAGAGCTGGTGTTTCGAATTCTTAACCTCCGAGTCAGTAGCTCAACTCACGGGCCACTATGCCCCCAGGACGCCTTGATTTAGGTGCATGGAGGCTACTCAAAAAACACACAAAGGCACAGACCCTGCTTTGAACGTGTTGAGTGTTAAATTGCCCTCTTCAGGTCTCCTCCACTAGACATAAATTGTGAGAGCAGGGATCTGTTTTGTCAGCCGGTATAGTCTCAGTGATAGCATCAAGAGAGGCTATCTATAGGCCCATCCATCCAGCTAGTATTTACAGAGCTCCGTCTACTTCTGGGCCACTGCGGTGAGTACCTGTGATAAATCAGTCAACCAAACAGAAAACTGTCCCCACTTTCTGAGCTCCCAAACAGATGAGTTACAAAGCCAAAGTCAATGCCTTCGAGTCGATTCTGACTCACAGCCACGTTGCAGGACAAAGCAGAACTACCCCTGGGGCTCGCCGAGATGACATCCTGCAGGGGGTAAAGAATTCCTTCTCTTGTAGGCAGCTGACAGCTTCAAACTACAGATCCTGCACGTAACCCACTTTACTGCCAGGGCTCAGGTGATGGGTTGTAGGCAAACTTAAAAAGAAAAAAAGCCCATAAATTCAAACAAATTCAAACAAAGAAGAGTGTAAAGGGTCCTCAGATTTAAACATGAAGCTGACATGTAGATTCCAGGTTAAGACATGTTTGTTGTTATAGATCCTAAAAAAGACTAGTGAGAAACTATTAGTCTATTTACATAAATGATTCCTGAGATAAAATAATATAAATGATTCCTGGGATAAGCTGATGATGATTACCTCAGACTAGTTTAAATAACTAGGTTGAAACTATTCTAGAATCTAACACTAGGTAAAGGTACAGCCAAAGAGACATTTAAAACATGGTTCCACTGGAAATACAGTGAACCCAGGACAGATGAACCCCCCAAGACCAGTGGAGAGAGTGGTGATGGCAGGAGGGTGGAGGGAAGGAGAGGGAAAAAGGGGGAACAGAGGACAAGGTCTACATGTGGCCTTCCCCCTGGGGGACGGACAGAGGAGAAGTGGGTGAGGGAGACGTGGGATGGGGTAAGATATGATAAAATAATAATAAATTATAAATTATCGGGGGTTCGGGGGGAGCGGGGAGGGCAAGGGAAAAATGAGCTGAAACCAGGGACTCAAGTGGAAAGTGGATGTCGTAAGAATGATGAAGTCAACATATGTACTAAAGTGCTGGACACAGATGACGTATGTACAGATTGTGATGAGTTGTATGAGCCCCTAATAAAATGATTATTTAAAAAAAACAAAAAACATGGTTCCAATCAAAGCAAGCACCGGCGGCACAGACCAAAGAACTGTGCCACGAAATGACTGGCCAAGTCAAGAACAGGACGCAGAAAGTGCAAGCGCCCAGGAGCCACTGCTAGATGTCCGGCTCGATGACCATGAACAAAGATCTGGCTGGCATTTCCGATTCCTTTCTCAAGTGAGATGTTCCATAAACTGCAAACGCGAACACTGAATAAATAAATGTCTCCATCCTCCAAAGTACATAACTGACAGTAAATGTTCATTATCAACAAGCACAGAATTAAAGAATGCGCCATTAAATAAAATAAACCTCTTAAGAAATTAGTTTCCAATAAAAGGCTCTGGTGTTGTTTATGGAAAATTACATGAGCTAAACACTCCAATGTCCAAAGGTCCGATCTCTAGCTGAAGTCTACTTTGCAGCTGAACAAGTATTAACCAACCGATAACTGACAGGTTATCGGAAAAGAGCACATTCATGTTTGTAGTCCACCTTGAATGGATTCCAAGTAAACTTGCACTGCAGGGGGAGTTGGGAGAAGAAAAGATAAGGAAAGAGGAAAATGTTTAAACGAAAACAATGTAAAAAAGTTAGAGCATAAAAATGAATGTATATAATGCTCTATACAATACTCGGAGGAGCCAGCCCTGCTGGGGCAAACGTTAAGCACTTGCCTAGGAACCAAATGGTCAGTGGTTCGAATCTACTTAGAGACTCCAAACCCACCTAGCAGTTCTGCAGGAGAGGCAGGCATGGAGATCTGCTCCCAGAAAGATGAGCGTGTAGACGGCTATGCTCGATCACATTGGATCTCTATGAGCTGAGATTGACGCAACATCACTTAACAGCAATAGTGCGCGTTTAGTGCTCTCAAAGGTTGGACCAGAGCTCTCGGTCAGCATCCCTTAGCACGTCCCACTCTCCACTGACTATTTATGCTCCTGTATTATCTACTAGACACACATGGATATATAAATTACTGAAGAAAGTATACATCTCACTAACCCTTCTCGGCCCCAAGAGTGCTTAGAGACAAAAAGTACTTAACATTTTTTTGTTGAAGAAATAATTACACCACATATTGATTTCAATATTCAAATAGAAAGTGGACTCATAATGCTATCCTAAAGTATGTTACTCACTCTCAGCTGAGATTGAGGATATTCATATGCATGAATAATAGACAAGTATCTGTTGTAATGAAATGGTAATTGTTAATTCCTATGCCTTGTTACCTTAAACAAATGCCATACAGTTTTTTTAAAGTCAAAATACATAAAGCATATGCATATTTGATTCTAAGGAGCTCTAGTGGCATTGTGGCTACATGCTGGTTAACCACAAGGTCCACAGCTGAAACCACCAGCTGTTTCAAGGGAGAAAGTGGGGCCTTTCTATTGCTGTCAACAGTGACAGTCTCAGGAGCTGACACGGACAGTTCTCCCTGCCCTGTAGGGTCACTGGGAGTTGGCAATGACTCAATGGTAGTGAGGGAGTGGTAGAAGCTTTTCTATTTAGAATTTATATACATATTCACATACACGTGTGTTCTCAGTCTCTCTCTCTCTTTATTTCCTCTCTCTCAATTCTCTGTGCCTTGCTCACTACTCTCTACACTCAGGGCTTTTCTGAGAGAAGACATATTAAAATGGTTCAACTTTGAAACCCTCACACTTGACCAGAAGAGCAAAATGACCACACTGTCATTAGTGGTAGACAATGGAAAGCTCCGGGACGATGACACAACTGTACATGAGGGGTGTCTCCCAGGATTCCACAGGGAAAAGCATGAGAAGCAATTTAAACTGCTGAGAATGACAGTGAAGATGGTAATTAACAGTGACAACAACAATCACACCAATTAATACTCCTCAGAGGAGTCGGCTTAAGGGAAGTGTTATACTAGCAGAAAGAAGAATGGTATGCACTGATTTGCAAGGTCTATCTATCTATCTATATATATATAGAAAAAGCAAGGTTTTGAGAATGATGATGACGGCAACAAATGTACAAATGTGCTTGACACAATGGATGGATGGATAGACTGTGATAAGAGTGTATGAGCCCCCGATAAAATGATTTAAAAAAATGAGAACATACCCAGGGAGCCAGAAAAAAAACGAAAACACCTGAATCAAATTTCTGCAGGTGCAAACTCTTATAAACATCTGAGACGAAAAATACTATGGATGGAGTAAGTGGCAGATTAAAAGTTACAAATGAAAACTAGTGAACACGAAGGAATACCAAGAGAAGCATCCAAAAACAAAAGAACCATCAGTGAGTCCACCAGGGACTCCAGAAGAATGAGCAAATCTGTCTGAGAAGAAGCACAGCTCCTTAGAAGTGAGGCCGGCAAGACTTCATCGCATAGAATGTGGACATGTTACCAGGTGGGACCAGGCCCTGGAGAAGGTAGAATACAAGGTCAGAGAAAAGTTGGAAGACCCTCACTGAGAGCAACTGACACAGTAGCAACTCTGAGAATGGTGCAGGACCGAACAGTTTTATTCAGGCAGGTACAGCATCATTATGAGTCAAAACTGACTCTGTCGGACCTAACAACAATAACAGGAGAGGAGGGTATATAGAATATTTGAAGAAATAAATAATGATAAATTTTTTCCCCAAAATTCATAAACTAAATCAATAGGTCTAAGAAGTTCAATGAACTCCAACCACAAGAAACCTAAGTACACCAAGTTACTTCATGACCAAATTGCTGGAAACCATGGCTATAGAAAATCTATACATATATTACAAAGCAGCCAGAGGGGAAAAAAGTGAAACTGACATGAAAATGACTCATGTGAAAAATGCTTAAGTGTTGGCTCGGCGATCTCACCACCTGATGAAGAAGAGCTCCCATTTGTTCCACGAGGCAGCCAGCACTGAGCACTGTCAATCTGTCCACGTGAGTCATTCAGTCACCGTGGTGGGTCAGTAACACTCATTCACTCGGGAATACAAGCTTGACAGCATCCACTCAAACTGAACTACACATATCAATTGAGTGACATTTAGACACGTTTTAGTTACAAACTAGGATAGCAGCAAAGGTGTCGTATGGACTTTAATGAGAAGGAGGAGATGAGAAGCGTAGGACTGGAAGTGGAGGGCGGGAACAGCAGAGAAGGGTGTGAGAGCCAGGGCACCCTCTTCTAGATTAAGAAGTCAACAGCAGCGCCTACCTCGGAAAACCAAGCAGATCCCTAAGACTAGGCCAGAAGTATCCAACCGTCAGCTAAAGGAAAAGAAAGCTTTTCTCCCATGAGAGGATTTTGTAGCTATCAAGTAGGGGGGCTATTGTCTATCTAACAAACCTTGCAGAATGACACTTTGATGCTTTCAAACTAACAGTCAAAAACAAACAAACAGAAACAGAAATGAGGAAACACAAACTCTAGGAAGTCACCATTTGGAAGCAGACCCTTCACAATCCCCTCTTCTGCTCGGCACGCGCTGTGTGCGCAAGCTGTAACTCCAGGCTACAGGCCAGCTCGGCCAGTAGAGAGGAGCGCCCACTCACTTGACCAGCTCATTTGTCAGGGTTAAAGTCAGTCTCAGAGGCGCCTCAGACCTGGAAAGGGCCTCTGCCTGCCTTCTCGCCGACCCCCACTGAAGCAACGCGCTTGGCGGCAGCGAGGGTAGGGTCACTTGCTCTCAGTGCCATCGAGTCAATTCTGACCTGGAGGTCACTGGGTAGAGAATGCTTTAAATAAAATGAAAAGCTGAGACAAATATTTCCACCAGCAAGTCCATGGACAGCTATTGTAATGTACAAACTATCGGAAAATAGCAGATTAGTGAAAGCACGGTTTTATGAATTCCAGCATCCTTAAATGTCATTAAAAAATAGGTATCATTTTGAAATACACAATTAAGTTGCTAGTGTTGCCAAGTAAAGGTGCCCCTAATGTACAAAAATTAGGTCAAAGACAGTATAATAAAATTATGTGAAATATGCTCATTTATCAATTTCTAAATAAATCTGATTTGTTTTTAACTGACATCTTAATTATCCACATTTACATCTGGCATATAACAACTTTTCTCTCTTTTAATAGTGTAAGACAAACAAAATATTATGATTATCCATCAGCTACAACTGAAATGCCATGTCAATTATGTAATAAGATTTCATTTTACCTTGTTTAATCTGTCCTTGCACAATGTTACTGGAAGTTGGAGGGGAACTTCTTGCTTTAGAAAGGTCTGGGGTGCTCGGTCTAGGTGGCCTTTAAAAATAAACAGAGACAGAGAGAGACATGTGTATGTACATTTCATATTTAATTTCCTAGCTCCAAATGAATTGTAAAAACACAAAACCAGAATATCTTCAATTTAACATTCCAGAAAGATGGTGTTTGCTCTTGTTTCACATGTATATGCTTCCCCTAGAAAATTTTAGCAGAGTAAAATAAACGGCAAGCAAGTAAAAGTCCTATACAGACAGTTTATGTTTGAGTCAAGTTTAAGAAATATTTACGAGTATGTCAAAGTTCTATCATTGACAGAGCCGTGTCATAACTGGTCTTTCATTCTTGAGCACGCGTGGCCTGAGATGAGTCTTCCCACTTCATTGGTCCCATGAATTAATGAGTCAACACACTGACCTGTACAATGATCAGCCTGATTGCGACTCCTAGCGACCCCGTGTGCGGAGCAGAACCGTGCTCCATTGGGTTTCTGAGCTGGGACCTTTGGTCTGCCATCGCCAGGCCTGCCTTCTGGGATGCCTCTGGGGGATTCCTACCCACCAACCACCAGCTAGGATCGAAGCGGTTAAAGTCCATGCCACCCCGGGACTTCTTACTAAATGGTACACAGGCAGCGAAGCATTAGTGATTCAGCACACTAGGGCCTGCAGAGGTCTGCAGTCTTGACTTGAATTCTGGTTCTACCACTGACTAGCTCTGTAAGTCATTTTACCTCTCTGTGCCTCAGTTTTCTCATCTGTAAGAAAAGAATAAAAGGAGCCTGGGAGCATAGGGGATTAAGCGTTGTTGTCTGCTAGGGTTGCTATGAGTTGGCATTGATTCAATGGTAGTGATTTGGTTGGTTGCTATGCAAAAGGTCTGTGGTGCAAATCTACCAGCTGTTCCTCAGGACAAAGAAGGGGCAGTCTGCTCCCATAAAAAATGTATAATCTCGGAGACCCTATAGCTCAACTGTACCCTGTCGAGCTCATTATGAGTCAGATCCAATGCTACAGCAGTGGGTTGGACAGTTGGGCTTTATTACAGAGTTAAGAGCATTAAATAGTTGTAAAGTCCTCAGAACAGAGCCATGTCCAAAGCATGTGCTAATATGTAAGTTCTTGCCAGATTTTTAAAATCCTTGGTATAGTCAATTCACCGTAGACTATAATAGATCGGGGCTAAAGTTGTCTTTGCGACTTGGGAAGAAGGGCAATTCAAGCTAAGAATTCTGAGCGGTCCAAATAGTTGCGCATGTGGCTACTAATTGTTGCTTTAAGCCCACCCAGGGGCATCCTAAACAGAAAGGTCTGAGAATCTGCTCCCATGACTACCCCAAGAAGTGCAGCTCCACCTAGCAACACAGAGGACACTGTGAAGTGGCTCTACTGGACAACAAATGCCTTGGCTTCAGTTTGGAAGGCCATTGGCCACCCCACTGGAAGATTCTGACTGTATTTTTCATCAATCGATTACTGCATATACGTCAAGGGTCACAAGGAAGGAAAACATTCTCCCCAAATGCACATTTCTAGATAGGGCGTTAGGGAAATTTTAAGTAGATACAATTTTGAGCAAACATTTACTCAAACCTAGTTCATTTGAAAGTTGAACCAGGGCTCTTCTCATTCCAAACATTAAAAATAAAGCAAAATACCACCAACAAAAAACCATTATTAAGTATGTCTGAATATAGGCAGAAAGGTGTAACTGCTTCTGTTTTTAGTTGCTTATTATACTGGAGACTTGAATGGGCGTGAAAATGTAAAACGCTAACACACTAAAACGACATCAAATATAAGCTCAGTACAGACACACACATTAAACGGTGACAAAAACGAAACTGGTTTCTTTGCTGTTCCCTCTCCTTTCCTCTCTTCTCTCTCTTTGTCTCTCTTCTCTCTCTCTCTCTCTGTCTCTCTCTCTCTCTCTCTGAAATGTAGGAGATCAAACTTCTATCGCCATGATACCTGGTTGGGCCCTTCTTCATGTGATCGCCAATAAAGGTGGCATTGGTCATACTCATTAGAGTATTTGCCAGAGAGATGATAGATAGGAGGTGCTGCGTGGTGACAGCCCGGGACACTCCATAGGTTCCCTTTCCTACTCCTTCAGTGGCCAGCAGCGTCCTGCCTGCATCTGCTTCCGCAGGAGCCAGGGTGCAGGCAGCCTGATTATAACCAGGGAGCATCAGTGACATGTGTCCCCCTCTGGACAAGAGCCCAAAGGAAACCGCGCAATGGGGTTTCAGCATCCCAAGGCGGTCAAGGCAGATGTCATCCAGGACTTCATTCAGACCCCAGGCGTGAAGGCAGGACATGAACAGTTTGGCAGTGTCCATTGTCAAGTTATATTCTAACAGGGTCAAGGGCTTGGACTTGCTGGACCGATATTCAGGATCGCTTTCTTCCCGTCGCTGCCTCAGTAACTCTCCATCCTCCTCTTCGTCGTCCAGAAGATGTTCCTTTATGTTCTCTTTGATGGTTTCTTTCACTTGTTGGAAGAGGACTGCTGCTCGCTTCCCAGTGAGAAAGGAGCCCCCTTTGTCTGAACTGCCAGATGCTTTCTGCAAATTCTCTGGGGAAATCAGGGCAGTATTCGGCCTGGAGGCTTCTTCGGTTAGGAGCTGAATAATCAACGCTTCCACGTCAAAGAAGAGTACGTGGACATCCGGATCAGTTATGTTTGTCTTTATTGCTTGGACCATCAGGGAATTGTGGGAATATTTAGGCAAATTCCCCTGCAATAAATAGATTTAAAAGTGGTTACAATGAAAACTTTTAATGTCATACATTCAATAATAAACAACAAATAGCTACAGCAATTACAATGGCTTTTCAGCTGTCCGTTAAGGGATCTTTATCATTAAAAGTATTATGCATACATATGATATATACACATGTCTATTTAAATATAACACACATATATGTGCTTGTGGGTGAATATATGTGTACATGTAGATATGTGTATATACACACTCTCCTTTCACTGTTATCAGCTTGATGTCAACTCATAGCAACCCTATAGGACAAGATAGAAATATCCCTGTGGGTTTCAGAGACTATAACTGTTTACAGTGTTTTTTCCTCCTTGGAGACTTGGTGGTTTTGAACTGCAGACCTTTTGGATCACAGCCCAACACATAACCACCATGCCCCCAAGGCTCCTCTGTATATATACACCTATACAAATATACATAGTATATAGATGTATGCATGTGTACAAACAATATATGTGTACATATATGTATATACATAAATATATATACACATATTACTGATGCCAACTATACCACACATGGCTATGATATATATTATATATGCATCAAATAAAATATATAATCCATAGCAAATATTTGATAAATACTTAATTTATAGCATATAATGTACCTATCACATGACACAGAGTATATATATTATATACTGTATATGCTCGAGTATAAGCCGACCCAAATATCAGCCAAAGCACCAAATTTTACCACAAAAACTGCATTAAAAATGTGCTGTAAAAGCTCGGCTTCTACTGGGGTACATACGGTACGTATGCACTGTGACACAGATGTCCCTGACATGCTGCTGCTAATATACACAACCACTAAACTCACTGTCACCGAGGCACTCCTGACTCCGAACGGTCTGGTCGGATTCCTAGGCTATGACTCTGCATGGGAGCAGAGAGCCTTTCTCTCGCTCCGAGCAGAGAGTGGGTTTGAGGTGGGCAGTCCAGCCCTGACCCAACAGTGCCTACAGAGATCCTGGATTATACACACACAGGGGGTTCCACAACCCATGGAAAAATAGAACTGAAAGATAATGTTTCCACACATTTTTGAAGCCCCCCCCCACTCCATGTGTGCGTACACATGGGGAAAGGAAGTATAAAATTGGCAGCTAATAGCATGTAAAAAATAAAAGCTTACACAATTGGAATCACTCTATTCTAAAATAATTATAAAACTGTCAAATATTTTTAAAAAGCAAGCAAATCAAAGTTTATTATTGAAATGGGTCTCTATTCATACACAGATCGCATTTCTTTCAATGCCTTCGAAGCAGACCCACCTCTGAGAATGAACTGCCAGTCGAGCTGAATGTCCATCATGGCTGCGGGCCCTTTCAAGTCTGTCCCGCCACATCCCTCAGTTTTCCCTTTGCCTTCCGTCCATCCCTGTTCGCAGGCTCTGCTCCCCCCATAGAGAACGTGCTCAAGTCCATTGGATCCTTTGATCATGAGTCCTCTTGTTTTGCTTTTAAATCATTTTATTAGGAGCTCTTACAGCTCTTATGACAATCCATACATACATTCATTGTGTCAAGCACATTTGTACATATGTTGCCATCATCGTTTTCAAAACATTTTCTTTCTACCTGAGCCCTTGGTATCTGCTCATCTTGTTCTCCACACCCCCACCCTCCCTCCCTCATGAACCCTTGATGATTTATAAATTATTATTTTTTTCATGTCCTACACCGACCACTGTCTCCCTTCACCCACTTTTCTGTTGTCCGTCCCCCGGGGAGGGGTTTATATGTCAATTGTGATCGGTTTCCCCAATCTTCCCCAATCTCCCTTCACCTTCCCGTTACCCTCCTGATATCGCTACTCTCATTATTCGTCCTGAAGGGTTTACCTGTCCTGGATTCCCTATGTTTCCAGCTCTTATCTGTACCAGTGTACATGCTTTGGTCTAGCCAGATTTGTAAGGTAGAATTGGGATCATGATAGTGGGGGGAGGAAGCATTAGGAACTAAAGGAACGTTGTATGTTTCATCGTTGCTACCCTGCACCCTGACTGGCTCGTCTCCTCCCCACGACCCCTCTGTAAAGGGATGTCCAGTTGCCTACAGATGAGCTTTGGGTCTCCACTCCGCACTCCCCCTCGTTCACAATGATATGATCTTTTATTCTTTGATGCCTGATATCTAATCCCATCAACACCTCATGATCACATGGGCTGGTATGCTTCTTCCATGTGGGCTTTGTTGCTTCTCAGCTAGATGGCCACTTGTTTGCCTTCAAGCCTTTATGACCCCAGACCCTCTCTTTTGATAGCCAGGCACCATCAGCTTTCTTCACATTTGCTTAGTACTCACTTGTCTTCAGGGATCATGTCAGGAAGGTGAGCATCATGGAATGCCAGTTTAATAGAACAAAGTGTTATTGCATTGAGGGAGTACCTGAGGAGAGACCAAATGTCCATCTGCTACCTTAATACTAAACCTATAAATGTATACACATAGATCTATTTCCCATTGTCATATATAAAAATATTTATATATTTACATATGTACATGCCTGTATTTAGACCTCTATAAATGCCCTTGCCTCCATGATAAGAACTGATACAACAGAAACCCTGATTTACACTTTACAGTTTCCAGAACTGTTAAGAAAATACATTTCTCTTCTTTAAAGTCGAAAAAAGAAGAAGAAGAAGAAGAAGAACTAGAGGAAAGTTGTATGTACTCCTGACTGGCTCATCTCTTCCTTGTGACCCTTCTGTCTGAGTATGTCCAATTGTCTACAGATGGGCTTTGGGTCTCCACTCCACCCTTCCCCGCATTGACATCGAAATGTCTTGTTCTGGGTCTTTGATGCCTGATGCTTGATCCCATCGACACTGATATGAGTCTTCTCGTATAACTGCTTTCTCTTTCTATAAGACCAACTTGGGTTAAATTTCGTGGAAGTAGTCACCCAACCCAGTGGGTGTTTTTCAGACCCTGGCTCCTTAATCTCTTTGCAGTGTCGGGCACTGTGGTTTTTGCCTTGAGAATGAATGAGAGGAGAAGAAATAAGAGAAAGAGGAAGGAGAAAAGAGAAAATCACAACAGATTCCAAGGTAACCATCACCCGATGAGCCTTCTAACCCGCACTTGCTCTCTCAGTCGGCTGTCCTCGCAACTCCCTCTCCCCTGGAGACTTGACCCACCCTCTCATGTGCTGTCCCCTACGTAACTTTGTCCTACGGCGTCGCCAGGAATCAGACTCAGCACGATGGCAACAGGTTTGGTTCACATACAGCATACCTGAAAGCCGTTGCCACATTTACAGAACGTGTTGCTATATGTATTTAGATCTAGGACATTATTGCAAAATCAGTAGCTGACTGACCAATAGCCGATCGTCGTGTGTAACCCTAAACCTAGCAGAATAAACAATTATTATAAAACCTTCATACAATTATTTTATTTGTAACAGTTTTTTCCAGATATGAAATGATTTTTCATTGATCATCAACTCTTGTCAGATAAAATTATAGCCAAACTCCCTAAACTGCTCTTCCCCGCCTCATTATCCTCCCATCTGATGCTGTTGCTTTCCAGCTTAAGAGGCTTCAAGGGCATTTCATGGCTCACGGATACAATCCAGATGTGCTCGCAAAGCACAGATAATCCTCCAGCACATACTGCTGTCTACACCTGTCCAATTCCGTCTCTAGCCACAAGCCCCTCCAGCGCCTGTGGCAAGCACATTCAACAACTTGTCCCCTGCAGTTTGAGGCAGCTGCGCCTTTGCAAATGCTCTGCCAGAACCCCATTCTGTCCCCCAACTCCCTATTGTCACTCAGGCCATACTTCTACCTGGCCTTCAAGCAGCAGCTCAAGGAGCTCCTCTTCAAACAGAATCTCCAGCGCCCGAGACCCACCTGATCACTGCCTCTGCACACACGTGCTCTGGACTGAAGGACAACGTGTGCAGGAGGTAGAAAACAGAGACGAAGGGCTTCCGTGGTACCGAAAAAAAAGCCGAAGATGCACACACAGCACGACAGATTTACACTACACTGGATGAGTATACACACACACACACAATACTCTCTGAAGCTTGTTCCTGTATTTAACTAATTCCTCCTATACTTGCCTACTCATTGTGCCTGGTGTTTGTGGAAAACACTGAAGCTATAAACATGAGTAAGATGTGGTTTTTTTACTCAAGAAACTAGAACTGAGTTAGATAGTGACAGGCAAGCATTGAGGGTGTAGTGTGAGACAGGGGAGATAAAGGAGAAAGTAGCAACTTCACCCTGAGTGACCCGCATCATGTGGCACCAGCCATCAGGGATGGGGGTTGGCTCAGCTTAAGATGGAGTATCCCCTTGCAGCAGGAACAGGCAGGCATGTCTGACACTGGGCGAGAGGGAACAGCTGATGTCAACATTAGGTAAAAGAAAGAGCTCACCACCGCCATGCTCTCGTGGATATTCCTCTTCTAGTAAGAGCTACAGAATTCTCTTAGACAGTATACAAAGTGTAAACTCAGACGTGTGTGTGTGTGTGTGTGTGTGTGTGTGTGTGTCTCGGGCTGACTACTGAAATGGCAAGAAAGAAAACAGGGCAGGAGTGGGGACACATACGGACTTTTCAGCTCTCTCCTCTGAGGTCACCCACAGCTCTCTCCTCTGAGGTGCCCCTTTGAGCACCCCCAGATCTACCAGTGCTGTCTGCCCCTGCCTGAAGGTGTGCCAGCTGACAGCCGAGTGCCAGGACAATGGAAAGGTTATCTAGGGCTTGGGACCAGGAGAGCTGGATGAGACTGTGGGCAACTCCCCTTATCGCCGCCTTTCAGTACTGCCAATTATGTCACGGCAGCAAAAAACGAACCAGCAGCCATCTCCGGTCTGAAAAAAAGGTTCAAAAAAACCCCAGACAACCCCCCCATAATAGACAGGTGAGAAAAGGATAGGGGAGACTGAGGACTAAGTCCTCAGAACGAGTCATCCCAAGATCAAGAGGTGAG